TTTCTTTTTTAAGTACATATATACACTAATATAAGCCACATTGGCCAATTTCGAGTCCCCTCAACGACACAAAAACATTAGTAAGGAGCAACAATCACAGATACAACATCCAGCAAGACACACCATTTCGGACCAAGGAGTCGTCTCCAAATTACACCACAAGATAAGGATAGGATAGAATAGACGACTCCAAACCACCCCCGAGGGAAGGCAACTTCCCTCACGCCGACAGAACACTGACTTCCGTCAGTGAGATGAAACCCGTAAGGGCGGATTCATGTAGGCGCGAAACCCGTCATCCATCCATCCATCCATGGTATGAATAAGGTACACGTACAAGGTTTGTCAGAGGACATCCCGTGTTTTGATCTTGATCAAATCTAGTCTTCTACTTGTTTTTGTTTTATTTCGAAACATGAATATTAAAAATACTGGAATCTGGCAAACAGATCCAAAACTGATAGTTGTAATGTATGGATTTGTTTTCAAGTCTCATTGAATTTGAAACATCAACAGATAAAGCAAAAGAGGAATATTTTTCAATTGTTTCAAAAAAACTTTTATGAAAAACTTCCCACAAATTTCAGGTAAAATATGGTTAATTGCAACACTAAAAAAAAACACTCTGGAGAGACCCCCATACCCCCCTTACAAGAGGGAGGCAAACCTGCACATCAAACTCTCCCCGTCTCGGCCTGTGGTCATCGAGGCGGTCTTCGACGCGGTTGCCTTCGGCCCCCAAACAGCTATTATAACTTTTCAACCACCTATGCCAAAACCTACTGAGAACCCTGGTCATTTATATTTGCAAAGCATTTTTCTTCCAAGTACATAAAATGTTAATAAAACATGTTTACAAAATCTACCAAGACAGGACTTTTGGCAATGACGTTTTGAATTAACAAGAGGCCTGAATCGCTCACCTGGTATTAATCTTACACTTGTAATCTTAAAGTGGACTCAAATACAGCTACAGGCAGAATATCAGTGTTTGATTCATAAGAACCTATTAAAAGATTTAAATATATGACCTTGAAAGTCGAACAAGGACTTTAGGTTGAACAGAGTTTATAGTCTTCCAAACTCGGAGCTTCTGGGAAAATATCAGTACCCTGAGCCTTTTGGTTATACAGAACAGGTCATTTAAAGATTTAAACATATATTGACCACTGTGACCTTGAATATGGGCGAAGGTCATTCATTTAAACAAACTTGGTAGCCCTTCATCCCAGCTTTATACAGGCCCAATATCAGTACCCTGGGCCTTTTGGTTATTGAGAAGAAGTTGTTTGAAGACTTTAACACATTTGACCCCTGTGACCTTGAAAGTGGGTCAAGGTCATTCATTTGAACAAGCTTGATAGCCCTTCATCCAAGCAATCTACTGGCCAAATAATATCCAGGGCCTCATGGTTAATCAGAAGTCGTTTTAAGATTTTAAACAAATTTGAGCCCTTTGACCTTGAATATAAGACAAGGTCATTCATTTTAACAAAGTTTGTAGCCCTTTCTCCAATCATTTTACAAGCCAAATATCAACCTCCTGCGCCTTTTGGTTATTCAGAAGAAGTCGTTTCAAGGTTTCAAACATATTTGTCCGCTGTGACCTTGAATAAAAGTCAAGGCCATTCATTTGAACAAACAGCGTAGCCCTTCACCCAAGCATGTTACTGGCCAAAGATCATTATCCTGCGCCTTATGGTTATTCAGAAGAAGTTATTTTAAGTAAAAAGTTGACACTGGACGGACGGACGGACAACAGACGGGTGGACGACGGACGCCGTACCATGGCATAAGCTCGCTTTGCCAGGTGAGCTAAAAAGTTGACGATGGAGGACGGATGAAGGTCGACGGACGACGGACGAACCATGGACACAGCACCATGGCATAAGCTCACTTGGCCCTTTGGACCATCTGAGCTAACAATCGGACAAGATGATCAAACAAAGGGTTGTTTTCTGTCCCCCGGTACTTTGCCCGGAACTTTGCAGAGTCTAAAACAGATTCTCCCTGATTGGTTAGTATGGTTGTGATGTCATACTTACATCCTGTTGATTCTAGGAACTGTTTAACATGAGTTTCACACTCAGTGAACATGTCTACATCTGACGTATACCTAGCTATGTAATGTAGACAATGCCAGCCGTACTTATCTACAGCTGTAGTTAGTGCTGGGTACGACTCACACAGATATTTACAAACCTCCATGCGTCCCCTCTCACAACTCCCATGTAACACTGTTCTCCCGTCATTATTTACAGCTGTAGTTAGTGCTGGGTACGTCTCACACAGATATTTACAAAACTCCATGTGTCCCCACTCACAACTCACATGTAACACTGTTCTCCCGACAGTATCTACAGCTGTAGATAGTGCTGGGTATGACTCACACAGATATTTACAAATCTCCATGTGTCCAAACCTACAACTCACATGTAACACTGTTCTCCTGTCATTATTTACAGCTGTAGTTAGTGCTGGGTACGACTCGCACAGATATTTACAAACCTCCATGTGTCCCTCCATACAACTCACATGTAACACTGTCCACCCGTCATTATCTACAGCTGTAGTTAGTGCTCGGTACGACTCACACAGATATTTACAAACCTCCATGTGTCCCTCCATACAACTCACATGTAACACTGTTTCCCCCCACATGTCTACAGCTGTAGTTAGTGCTGGGTACGAATCACACAGATATTTACAAACCTCCCTGTGTCCCCACCTACAACTCACATGTAACACTGTACTCCCGTTATCATCCACTAACTGACACATGTACTGAGCACACACACAACTCTTGTGCACCACACGACCTTCTACTGTCTCACACTTATGTTGTTCGTCCTCGACTCTATACAAGGATTTAAGTATAATTCTCTCCACTGTTTTAAATATATCACAGTTTCCTGTCTGTGCCACAAGATGGAGCGTGCTTCGTCTCCAGTCAACATTGTCATGTATCAAGTGTGGGTAAGTGTCATACAACATGGTCACCATCTCTTCTCTCTCAAACAAACACGCCTCATGTAGGACATTGATATTGTAAGCATAATATGATGATTGTGACCTGTGTACCCTCGCTGTCTGAGTGACGTCATACTCCAGTAGTTTACGTAACACATTCACGCTCCCTCTCTTAACAACACAAAACGGTGTCTCCCTGTCAGGTTTCACACCCTCCGATAGAAGGAATAAAGCACATTCCTCTGAACCAGAAAAACATGCTTTATTTAACAAGCAAAGTTTTATCTCATCATTCAAGTATTCAACAATCTTTTCTAACACTTTCTTGCTCCCTCCTTCTACCACACAAAACGGTGTCTTCTTGTCAGGTTTCACACCCTCCGATAGGAGGAATAAAGCACATTCTTCTGAACCAGAAGAACATGCTTTATTTAACAAGGCAAGCTTTATCTCATGGCACAAGTTTTTGTCAACATTCTGACCTCTAAGCCATCTGATAAATCCCTGCAGAAACTGAATATCTGTCCATACATCTAATGCAGTTATATATTCTCTAAAAAAACAGTACTTGTTGGTGTCGGATTCAAACTCTCTGACTAAACGTTTATACATATGTTTATTACTAGATGATATAACTATTCTGTTTGGAATGGTTTTTGATGTTGATATATAACGTAGAAACTTTCTTGGACAATTCTCTATGAACCCAATTTTTGTGTCATTGCCATACAAAAGGGCAACAGTGTCCTGGACAGAATCATGACAAAATTTGTAAAATACATCATCATCATCAACATCATCATCTAATACATCATCACCATCATACAAAAAACAGTTTTTTGTTTTTGCAACCAGAGATCTTAATATTTCATCTAAACTTCTACGTAATGATCTGATTTTGTCTTCATGACTTAGTTCAACGCCATGGAAAGCTATCTCTAGCATTTTCTTGTCAACATTTTCACTGTTAGGATCTAAGTCTCCTTTCTTTACCCGACCATCATTGAGGAAGAGAAATAGAAGAGAAGCAGAGCATTCCTTTGGTAATTTCTTTAACGTTTTTTCCATGAAATAAACTGGACTTTTGAAGAAATCAACCCCTTCATTTCGTAAGATAGGAACATCTCTATACAGTCTGCAGCACTGTGGAAACCCAATTTTCGGTGCAAGTTTAACAATTTCAGATTCCTTACCACCAGATAAGTCTTTAATTTTTGGGACATACATTTCTAAAATCTGCAGCTTTTCTGCACTTGTCATGATGTTTTTACCTCTCAAATCAATGGCGTTATCGTCATTAAATAGTTCACATGAGGACATTTGTGTGCTTTTGAAAATTTCATCTCGAACATTTAAGATCAAACAATTTGATCTTCTTTTTAGTTTGCCACAAAATGCTGACTGTATAGAGTCTTTCCTACTCTTCAATTCTTCAACAATTTCCGCACTGACATCATCAATAAATAAAGCTATCTGTGCTTCTGGCTGAACAATGTCATCCCATTTAGACATGCTGTAAAGCTGTAACGGATCTTTTGACAGTCCAGTATCCTTATTATCGCCATCCATTAGCCACTTCAACAGCTGGTAGCACATCATTGTCTTTCCGTCCCCGGAGGCGCCCTTGATGATGACCATGCCGTTCTTTCTGATCACTTCCTTGGCATCTTCCAAGGCTTGTGTAGAGATGATCTCCGATCTTGAGGTTTGACCTCTGACTGTTGACTTTGTTGTTTCTGCAATCAAACAGATAAACATTGGATAAAAAACAAGATCGAACAACTGTGGCAGGGTTCAATTGTACAAAGGATTAAGGTCGCCTTCTAGCTTCTCTTTAGCTCAGTGGTAGAGCGTCCGACTAGGAACCTGGAGATCGAGGGTTCGATCCCCGGTGGAAGCACACTTTTCTCTTTCCTGTTACACAACTTAGTGTAATATTCTCCACTGGTAATTGAGATAGTATGTATTACTTCCTTAATTTTTCTAGATACTCAAAGTGTAAAATACTACCTAGATTGAGTGGGCTGTATTCCACTACCGACACAACAGGTACAATCACCCACTATCTTAACTGTGAACTGTACTCTACTATGTATATATTGAGTGGGCTGTATTTTACTACCGACACAACAGGTACAACCACCCTCAATCACAAATGTGAATTGTACTCTACTATGTATATATTGAATGGGCTGTATTCCACGACCGACACAACAGGTACAACCGCCCTCAATCACAAATGTGAAATCTACTCTACTATGTATATATTGAGTGGGCTGTATTTTACTACCGACACAACAGGTACAACCGCCCTCAATCACAAATGTGAAATGTGCTCTACTATGTATATATTGAGGGGGCTGTATTTCACTACCGACACAACAGGTACAACCACCCTCAATCACAAATGTGAAATGTACTCTACTATGTATATATTGAGTGGGCTGTATTTCACTACCGACACAACAGGTACAACCACCCCCAATCTCAACTGTGAACTGTACTCTACTATGTATATATACTAAGTGAGCTGTACTCCACTACCGACACAACAGGTACAACCACCCTCAATCTCAACTGTGAACTGTACTCTACTATGTATATATTGAGTGGGCTGTATTTCTCTACCTACACAACAGGTACAACCACCCCCAATCTCAACTGTGAACTGTGCTCTACTATGTATATATACTAAGTGGGCTGTACTCCACTACCGACACAACAGGTACAACCACCCCCAATCTCAACTGTGACCTGTACTCTACTATGTATATACTAAGTGGTCTGTATTCCACTACCGACACAACAGGTACAATCACCCACAATCTCAACGGTGAACTGTACTCTACTATGTATATACTGAGGGGGCTGTATTTCACTACCAACACAACAGGTACACCCACCCTCAATCTCAACTGTGAAATGTACTCTACTATGTATATACTAAATGGGCTGTATTCCACAACCGACACAACAGGTACAATCACCCACAATCTCAACTGGGAAATGTACTCTACTATGTATATACTGAGTAGGCTGTATTTCACTACCGACACAACAGATACAACCACCCTCAATCTCAACTGTGAACTGTACTCTACTATGTATATACTGAGTGGGCTGTATTTCTCTACCAACACAACAGGTACAACCACCCTCAATCTCAACTGTGAAATGTACTCTACTATGTATATACTATATGGGCTGTATTTCACTACCGAGACAACGAGTACAACCATCCTCAATCTCAACTGTGAACTGTACTCTACTTTGTATATATATACTAAGTGGGCTGTACTCCACTACCGACACAACAGGTACAATCACCCACAATCTCAACTATGGACTGTACTCTGTTATGTATATACTAAGTGGACTGTTTTTACACTACTGACACAACAGGTACAATCCCCCACTACCTCAAATGTGAACTGTACTCTACTATGTATATACTAAGTGGTCTGTATTCCACTCCCGACACAACAGGTACATCCAATCACCCACTACCTCAAATGCGAACTGTACTCTACTATGTATATACTAAGTGGTCTGTATTCCAGTACCGACACAACAGGTACATCCAATCACCCAATACCTCAAATGTGAACTGTACTCTACTATGTATATACTAAGTGGTCTGTATTCCACTACCGACACAACAGGTACATCCAATCACCCACTACCTCAAATGTGAACTGTACTCTACTATGTATATACTAAGTGGTCTGTATTCCACTACCGACACAACATGTACAATCACCCACTACCTCAACTTTGAACTGTACTCCACATTGCTTTACCTATACCTGGACTATTCTAAAATCTATATTAAATAGGCTTCATTCATTACAGTATAACATATTAGTTGCAATTAAAACAGCAGGACCCAACGCATACCAGGGATAAACAATTTCACTTGCCTGATGAACGGATCTGGTAAAAGTTCATAAAATGCACTGTCAGGTAAAAAATTCAAAATCTGTTAGTTCAGCCACTTAATATGACTTTGTAAGCCCCTGTGGTCAGTGTTGTAAACCTGCCCTATAATACACTAATAAAACTAGGTTAGATAATATACCTTTAATTTAATCAAGAGGCCCAAGGGCCTTATAGCGGTCACCTGAGTTATATCATAGGTACTGGTAGCTTTATTTTATTGTTAAGATGTGATGTGGAAATCAGCATGTAAACTTAGTGAAAGTACTTGTCATGTCATCAAAGGTTAAGAATTTTAAAATATTGGTAAATGTTCCCTTTGGGGCCCCGCCCTAGCCCCTGGGGATGGGGCAGGAATCCCAATTTTACAATGTAATACCCTCATTCACCAAAGATGATTCTGACTAAGTTTGAGTAATTTGCTGCTGGAAATGGATAAAATATACCCAAAAGTGTTATTTCCCTATATAAACTATAGTAAACTTTACCCCCTCCCCAAGGGAGAACGGATAGCCCGGGGTCCTGAAATTTACGATTTAAATAAAGCCCCTGATGATTTTCTTTCCATGCAGAGAAAATGACCGTAATACCTCTGAGTCTGGAGAAGAAGATTTTTGAAATATTGGTTAAATTTCCCTTTTGGGCCCCGCCCTGGCCCCTAGGGTTGGGGTAGGAATCCCAATTTTACAATTTAAAACCATCTTCCTCCTCCAAGGATGATTCTGACCAAGTAAAAATAATTTCCAACAGAAAATTGTCAAAATATACCCAAAAGTGTTGTTTCCCTATATAAACTATAGTAAACTTTACCCCCTCCCCAAGGGAGAACG